ACAGGCTCATAGGTGGAAGGGACTTGCCTTGTCTCAGATGAGACTTTGGACTTGTAGTTTTGAGTTAATTCTGGGATGAGTTAAGGCTTTAGGGAACTGTTGAGAAGGCATGATTATGTTTTGAAATGTGAGAAGGACATGAGATTTGGAAATGGCCAGGGGTGGACTGATATGGTTTGGCTCTGTGTCTTCACCTAAATCTCACATCGAATTGTAATTCCCAATTTTGAGGGGAGGGACCTGATTAGATCATGGGGGTAGATTTCATCCTTGCTGTTCTCACGATAGTGAGTGAGTTCTCATCATGAGATACGGTTGTTTAAAAGTGTGTAGCACTTCCCCCTTCCCCATCTCTCTCCTGCTCCACCATGTCAAGATGTGCTTGCTTCCCCTTTGCATTCTGTCATGATTATAAGTTTCCTGAGGCCTGCTCAGCCATGCCTCCTGTACAGGCTGCAGAACTATGAGTCAATTAAACCACTTTTCTCTGTAAATTACCCAGTCTCAGGCATGTCTTTACAGCAGTGTGAGAATTGACAAATACACTCTGATAAGACAAAGTTTAGATTCTCATTTTCTATCTTCCTTATCTATTAACCACTCTTTAGTAATTTTATTTTTTTGTCTTTGTGTTGCATTTCTAATTTTCCTTCTGATGAAACTTTCAGTTTACTTCCTGACTTCATGTTAATCTGATCACCCACTAAATTTTTAATTTTAAAGATTATATTTTCATTTTTTTAAGTTGTATTTTATTTAAATCTGTCTGGTAGTTTAAAATATTTTTATCTTCTCTTTTTAAAATATTTGATACATATGTCCTACATCTAATAATTTCAATATCTGTAGTCCTTGAGATTCACATCTATTACTTGTTGATTTTATTGAATCTCACCAATGATGGCCTATTTCCTTTTGCTGTAATCTTTGATCAGAGTTTATATTTGACTGACATAAATAAGTAAAAACACCAAGGACCTGAATTTCCTCCAGAGAGTATTAGTACCACAATACTCTTCCTCATTCAGTAGAAATGACTAGAAATTTCCAAGCAGTAATGTCCAGTGCTGACACGGTTTGCTAAAGGAGAAAAACTTGAATAGTTATTGATTGTTAAAACTGAATATGTTAAATCATGAGGTTTATTGTGATTATATAGTATAAAACAGCATATAATATAAACCAGATTACATAGGAGTAGAATGTTTAACAGAGGTTCTTGGTGTGTTTGTCATGCTTCTAAGTAAATTCAAGCTATTACCAGGGAAGTTGCAGAGCAAATCAGTGAAGTCCTAGAGTAAGGTAATTATTACATGACTGGTGGGTCACCTCAATCTCATACCTGAAACATAATTAAAAACAAGAGTATATATAGTGTTTTACAAAAAAAAATTAACAAGTGTGGTTTCTTATTTTTAAAAGTCATAAATTTGGGATTTACAAGCAAAAAGTCCTTGGAGTCTTTTACTAACACAAAAAACTCTGCCCTTTTTGAATTAAATTAGACAAAAACTTAAATTTCATGATGAGAAGATACAGGCTAAATGCAGATTTTTCTTAAATATTATGGAAACAAGCATTAAACTATTTTCCAACCTTTGTCTTATCCATCTGATAAGATGTAATGGCTATCTGAGAACATTGTCTTTTCAAAGCAGCTGCACAGCTGTCTCACTATTATATTTAATGTGTTTTATTAAACTTCTAATTAAGTTCTATAGTGTCTACCTTCAGTTACTTTCCTAGGAATGATTAGGATAAAGAATATAAGGCTTATCAGTTATTTTTTTCCACAATAGGAAGTAAGTCACTCTTGGACATCCTTCTTTGAAATGTTCTTAATAAGTTCTTGGTAGAGAAAACTTGCAAACTATGTTAAAATTAAACATGTCTACTTCTACCTAATAATCCAGCCTGATAAATTATCCAATAGAAATAAATACCACATTTGGATTATTCCATCAGCTAGTACTGGTTTTTAATAAAAGAATACCCACCAATGGTAGGGGATTTAGTATTTGGTAGGGGAATGTAAGTACATTCATACCACAGAATGTGTTCAGAAACAGTTCTTCACAGGTCTCTCACATTTTGACACATGTTGAGAAAAGATGCACTGACTGTCATTTCTTCTGGATTGTCTTTTAAACGATGTTTGTGTAATGAATAACCTTGGGTGATAGAAATAGTGTCTCTCCTTAGAACAAAGAGCAGGAATGCTTGCTGTCTGGTATAAAAAATTTTCATGTCTCCCTCTGGATCAAAGGACAGAGACACCTACTGCTCATTATAAAATATTCATATTCCCTATGTAGGGGGTTCCTCTCCTGGAGTATAAACCACTATATATGTGGGCCATAGCTTGGCCCATCTGCGTCACCTTCACAGGGCTTGGGAGAAAAGAGAACCCGCAAAAATAGGCTGATGTTCATGCTGCTTACCAGGCTGTAATAAAGTCGTTTGTCTTTGACTTGGGAGTTTCATGCCATTTTTTAAATCCATAAAGCTGTGGCAGACTAACTTGTTATCTTGCAGTTAGAGAACATGTCAGGTCCTTCACAGTCCTTAAGAGTTGGGATGCTGACTTAGGTGTGGCTTTCAGGAAGAGAAAAGACAAGAGTCCTGCAGGCCAGGTTTGGAAACATGACAAGACTCTCTGGGACCTGATATGAAATGCTGGGCAAGAGAAAGGGAGCATAGTAAGGGTCCCCTACTGTCCTTCCTGATGATGAATCTGTAGAGGATAAGCTGTAACAGATAGGACTGAAATAAACTGCCCAGTGGCACCTTGGTTGTTGCTCACTCTCCTCTGGGAGGGTGGATGAGCAAATGTTACTATGACAATGAGGCAGCAAGCCCTCCAGCCCCAGCCAAAAGGCCATGAGGCCATGGCTGATGAACCAGAGTCCCCAATCAGAAATAAATGATGTCAGCAGTGGAGACCTTGCTATTCAATACAGAGCTTTGGACAGATTAAAATCATTAAATGTTCTTTTGGTTAAGCCATAAGCCAGCACCTGCTCAAAACCTGCTCAAACTGAGTGAAAGGCCTTACTTACTGGCGCAGAGCCCCTTTCTCTTTTGATATGCTCTGATTACTCTTTTCCCCTCTACCCTGACTTCAGCTGCTTTAAAGAGAAGTCTCCCTGCCCTACAGAAAGATCAAAGGCCATATTCATCAATCTCATTATGCTGGAACTCTGTTGGATAAAACTGCCCAAGTCATCATCTTACCCAGTACTGTGCAAGGAGCAGTCACTAGATTCAACGAATGGAGTTTGGGCCAGCTTCACAGTGAAGAGGGGAAATTAATGTGACTTTGTACATTGAGGAATTTTGGACCAGTTCAGTGTACTGTTGCAGCTTCTACATCTGAATGTACTTTCTCATCCCAAAAGTGCCAAGGGGATTCTCCTGATCACAGAAGAGCTATATGCAAAGTGCTAATGCACAACTTCAATGCACCTCTGAGCTCAAGTCTTTGTGACAAGTCTTAGTCAGCTGGGGTCTTGGGCAAATAAAGCCAACCTCTACCTTGAGGGGCCCTTGGGATATTGAGTTAATCACTTCTCTGACATGGAAAAAAAAAAGTAACTAGTAACTTGCTGGGCTCTTGGCAAAGCTAAATACCTGACCCATAGAAACCTTGTGACTCTCTGGCCTGGTGTTCCCATTATTTTGGCTGGGCCATTTATTGGGTGGGACTCAATGACTAACAAAGTAAGAAAGGTTCAATAAGCCTTACTTGTCAAATAAAAATGATATATTCAAAAGCAAGGTCATCCTGGTCCCAGCAGCATCTAGCATTACATGAGACATGATAGCTTGCTTTCTCAGGGAACTATATCCTCCATTCTGCTTCTGAAAGCAATGTTACTGGCTCAATGGGGACCTCAATGCCTGGTCTGGTTCACTGATGGTGAACATCTATGTATATAGTGTTTTCATCTAAGTAAATCAATTACTAGTAATTTGTAGAACAGCATATTCATATGTGTGCTTAAAGTAATGTTTACAAGAATGTTCACTGCAACATTGTTTTTGACAGCAAATGACAAGGAACTACTTAAAAATCTCTTATTTAGGAACTCTCTAAATAAATCACTTGTAGGTCCATACAAACTATGGCTAATCGTCCCAATAAAAATAATGTTAACAATTTCTGTCTTTATGAACAGTGACTATTTTCTCAGTGTTTGTAAAGTGTCAATAAAATCATGTTTCATTACCTTTGCCATTTGTTGACTAGCTGTACACAATATAACAAATGACAGTTGCTTGCTTAGCAAAGGCAACTTGAAGGCAAACCCCTTAGCCTCCCTCAGTGTCCCAACTCTCCAGTCCCACAAGACTGTCCCTATTACAAATTCTGGAACTTATACTGATTTCAAGATTTATTGTTACATGAAAAAGCAAGGATCCGAAAAATGTAAAATTTATCATTTTCCTGTAAAAATGGCATATATACAAATGTTTGCATGTACTCCTCTGAAAGTAAACAGAAGACACTGGTAATAGGGCTGCCTCTACAGAAGAGGATAGGGGAACCCTGGATGTCTTTGGTGAAAGTAAGACTAGTTTTCATTGCTATAGATAAAGGCTCACATTTAGATTAAGAACTAGTATCTCTAGGTGGTAAAAATCCAAAGGACTATTCATTTATTTATTGCCTGTTACTCATTTTGTATTATTTCTACAATGAACTGAAATTCACTTCAAAGAGAAAAAGTTAAAAGTATTTTGAAAGAAGTTGTCCAGCAAGAATATAGCAGAAGAAAGGAAATATCCATATTTTGGCAGCTAGAAAAGGAACATAAATTGTTGTAATCTCTGGTGATTAAAAAAATGCAATCCTTAATGTAAACCTAGTTGCTGACATTAAAATAGGAAAGAGATAAAAATGACATAAAACTAGAAAGGCAAGTGACTGGCAGAGAAAACAAATCCAGATGCAGAATTACTTACCAGGAAAATTCTCAGATTATATAATCAAACAAAAATTCAAACAATATCTTGCTTTTGTTATTTATTTTTATGTCTTATATGCAAGGATATATTCAATCAAAGAAACAGTGTTATAACAAAAAATTCTCAGTTCCATTCATTAGATTTCAATAGCTGAGTTTCTCCCAGAATCCTATCTGGAATAACCTCAGTCATTACCATACCATACAGACAGATAGATTTCCCTGGGGCTTTTGGTGGGGATTCTTTTATTCTGACAGCACTTTGAAGGATTTGAGATGGAGAACGCTGTGCCGTTGCCTTTGCACATCTTCCAGACAGTGGAGAATGCATTTAGGGGCAGCAGATTGGAGTTCATCTTTTGGGGGCCTGTGAAAATATTTTTGGCCTTTGTAGATTGGTTGAACTAAAAGGGAAAAAAAATACCTTAAATCATTGGATTGGTATACACTACCATTACTCTACTTATGTTAGAAGTAACACACACACAAATCAGTTTATATAACCCAGGAATGTTTCTTGGTAGATGTTTCATCTTTTAGGAAAACAGCACCTCCTAAAACAATTATTTTATTTCATTCTTGGGGTTGTTGCTAATGGCAACAGAAAGAATGCACTGGAGTGTCATAATAATCCTCCATTAAATCCCTACTGTTTAAATTTTAATGCTATAATTCAAGAGCTGACAAAAGCCCATTGAGTTTGTCTATGGGGAGGAAAACAGGCAGGCCCATTTTCTCAGGGGTGATGCTATAGCAACATGGAATGAATTTGGGGTCAGGGAACAAGCAGTCTCCAAGCTTTGTTTGCATTTCCTGACTAAAAGTAGAATCTAACATTATAAATTTTACCCAAATAAGTATTTATTTTGAATAACAGGAAGATAGCTCACTTTGTACTGCTGTTTACATTGAAAACAGAGAGAAGGTAACAAAACCAGAACTGGAAGAAAGACACGCCGACAAACATGTTATGAAATGACTATTGAAGTGACCACTTTAGAAACCCCTAGAGCCCCTCTGCATTTGCTTGACACCCCACCCCTCTCCCGTGGACAAGGGATGCTTTAGAACATGGAAAAGTATTAAATTTGCAAAATGCCTTTTTAAAAGAGAGAGACAAAGGAAGTCTGATCAACAATTCCTGAATGGGACCCCTTACAGTCAAGCAAGACATGGCAAAGACGGGTGTTGTTGATTTTGTCTAGCTCTTTATAATGGCACTTTTGTTTTAGTGGGAGAATTTATTTCTACCAGAATAAACAAATACACCTGAATCACAATTGCCTATTGTGCAGCAGAAGGCCAAGAAAAACCCTACCCAATTCCCACTAGTTTGTGCTGCCAACTTTTCTTTCCCTAGGCATCTGTGTTTTCACTTTTGGTTTAAGTGTTGAATATTAGCATATTGAGTCAGTATTCAATAGCATATGATATTACATTTTGGGTGGTTATCCAATAAGGTCTATCTAGTTATAGACTCTATTTATATGGCTTGCAATATACAAAAAAAGAAGACTGTTAGGTTTTCAAATGCTAAGTCATAGGTGAAAATATAAATATCTGTAAACCTTGTAGCTCAACAAAACTCAAAGCTGTTTCTTCTTTTTTATTTCCTGTCTCAGACCCTCGCTGTCTCACCTTGACAATGAAAAATGCTCACCCCTCCCAGACCTCTGATGACCTCTAGTACTCATCTTTTACAATTCATCCTAAATATAATGGCGATATTAATTATCTTCTTAATAACAAAATCCCTCTTCTATTAAAAAAATCTTTGATGTTTTAAAATAAAATTCACACTTCTACATACTTACTCTGCTATTACAAGTAAATCAAACTGTATAACTTGCTGTTCCATTTATATATCTTGCTTACACTTTTCTCACAGTATATTTACTTAGATGCTGTGTAGAATTTCCTCATCAATATTCTATTCATCTTTCAAACCCAATTTATATGTCACCTTTTCCATAAAGGTTTTCCAGATTACTCCTTCTGGAAAAGATTTCTTCCCTTTTTTCACTCTAAGCTCACATGGCCCATGTAGAATTCTCTTTGGGAGCTTATTTCATATTTTCTAATGAACTCTCTTACTATTATCCCACAAGGATAGAGACTATATATTTAATTATTTTTCTTTCATTTTACTCTTAGAAAGAAATGGTTTTTAATAAAAATATTCTCTAAGCTGTATTGCTTACCTGGTTTTGCCTCCTAGAAACACAAAGCAGATTATATTCAAGTTATAATGATTATCAACAAAAGGATTTGTAGAATAAAACTTAAAGCTATAGTATAAAAAATATGAAGTAATATGTTATGATCAAGTACAAGTGCCTTAAATAAAATACAGGTTTAGCATAAAAAGAAAAATAAAAGATGAGTTATTCTACATAGACAACCCTAATATCTCAGTAGTTTATCATAATAATCAAGTATGTGCCCATGTTACTCAGTCAATGAACACTGGCAATAAGACTTTGCCCATCACAGTCACTGAGGAATCCAGGCTAACAGAAGAGACATATGTATACATATTTACATAGTCACTGTGTCAGAAAAAGGGAAATTGGTGACACATACCATGCTACCTCTGAAAATTTCTGCCCAGAAGTGGCACACTTGTTCTGTTCATACTTTATACATCAAAGCAAGTCACATGGCCAACCTGACTTCCAGGGGGCAAGAAAGTGAAATTCCACATGTGTTCAGACACAGAGACAATTTGAAATGCCTGGAGAATAGCACTAGTAATTATTTTTCCACATTTCCTCCCCCAATAGTCAGGGAAAAAAATAAATACATTTCAAAATCTATATCAAAATGGCAAAATACTCAAAATTAGGAAACTCCCTGAAATCATTTGAACCTGTATTTCAATAACCTTAACAAACAGCCTCCTTAATCATGAAATTTTAGAAATTTTTTTTCTCTTAAGATACATTAAATACAAGGATAAATTAAATACAAGGGTATTATCATTGCTACTGATCCATATAGACTGCAAGTTATGACCAACATAAGACATAAGAAAGAAAATAAGGTAGATGGTTTGGAAAATAATAGACCAAAATTGCCATTTCTATAGGTATGATATGAACTGTTGATATGGCTTACCTTTTGAATTTTTAGCATTTTATATTATAGTTATTTAAAATTATGATCAAATTTTCCATTAAAAATTACTTTAAAATTTTAAAGTAGAACATTAAGAACCTGTGAAATAATAGCAAAAGAATGAAAGTTTGTAATTAGAGTACTAGAAAGAGAAAAAGAGAGAGTATGATGCAGAAAAATTACTTAACCAAATAATGGTTAGAAAATTTCAAAACTTTATTTTAAAACCCACATATAATTTCAGGAATCTAAGCAAACAACAAACAATGGACATTATATTAAACTGCTGAAAATCAGAATTAAACAGAACATTTGAAAAGCAAGAGAAGAAAAATACATATTACACATTAAATTCAGAGGACCAATAATAAGAAATAAGGCTAACCTCTCATCAGAAACAATGTAAATCAGAAGACAATGGAACAACATCTTTAAACTAAATGAAAGACAACTATATAACTTGTCAACCTAGAAAGGTGTTAATCAGCAGATATGTACTACAGGAAATGCTACAGGAAGTTCTTTTGGCTTCTGGTTCTTTGGCTCAGAGTAAATGGTACCGGATGGAAATTTGGTTACATAAGAAGGAATGAAAGATTAAGTATGTGACCAATTTCATGAAAATAAATTGAACAAATTAGATGAAAAGGACAAGCCTTTTTTGAGAAGTCATAACAAATCAAATTAACAAAAATGAAAGAAAAATGTTGAATAATATTATTAAGTAAATGAAATTCACGACTAGGAAACTTCTCTCAATGAAAACGATGGTGTATACTGGTGAATTTTATTAAATATTTAAAAAGTTATATGCTTTTTAACTTTAAGTGCATAATATACTTCTGATATTTTTTATAGGGATTTGCATTTAAGGGAATAGTCTACATTTACTTTCTGTATGGAGATACATAGATCTCAGGTCTGCCAAAAAAAATTGACGAATAATTTCAACCAGGTTATTGCATTGTTGAGGTTATCCATGTGTTGTTCAATTAATACTTGACATTAGCCTTTAACCTCAGCCAGTTTCTCCTCTGGCATAGGCTGATATATAAGAAAATAAGTGGGCCAGGCACGGTGGTTCACACCTGTAATCCCAGCACTTTGGGAGGCCGAGGTGGGTGGGTCGCAAGGTCAGGAGTTTGGAACCAGTCTGGCCAACATGGTGAAACACCGTCTCTACTGAAAATACAAATATTAGCTGGGTGTGGTGGCAAGCACCTGTAATGCCAGCTACTCAGAAGGCTGAGGCAGGAGAATCTTTTGAACCCAGGAGGCAGAGGTTGCAGTGAGCTGAGATGACACCATTGCACTCCAGCCTGGGTGACAGAGTGAGACTCCGTCTCAAAAAATAATAGTAATAAATTTAAAAAAATAAGAGAAATGAAAACTTGGCCCAACTATTGGGCAAAAAAATCCAAGTTATAGCCTTCTTGATGGTTATGTGATTGATGTTAACATTGATATAAATAAAGTCTGTTTCTGAAAAGAAAAGAAAGAAAAGAAGTGCTGGTGAATTTGAGCCCAGATCAAGCGAGTTTGTATTTCATACACAAATGCTTCAAGCCAAATATTTGGTGGACTCAAGCTACTTATGTTTCCTATCATCCTTTTTATCACAGGGTATTTGTTGTAGATAGAAAAAACATAAGAAAGGACAGACTTTGATGTGTTTTTCTTTCTAGTTCTAAGAATTGCTATTCTGTCTTCTAGCAGAACACCTTCCCAAACAAGATAATTGGCCAAAGTAGGTAAGAGAATGAATGGTGTGTATCTACGAACAGATATTTGAAAGACAAATTTTTAGTGGAAGAAGGGAAGTTCTGGCAAGTTTCAGCAGCATACTTTCACTAAATCTTTAAGTGCATGGACTATAGTGTGTGTAATAATGTTTCAGGTCAGGTGACTGAGATCGTGCTTAGTTTACAGAAATTTTGGAGGAAATTGCTGTCAGGATCAGCAATTGGGAATAGGAAGAAAGTAGAATTAGGCCAAAGAAGAAGTTGGACTGCAACATAGTAATAAGAACTAACTAAGGAAACCTCAAAGAGAGCCCTGAGGTTAGAACAGTCCTTTAGATGGGGAAAGGAGACGAGATCATCATACCCCACATCAATCAGTCTTCAGTGCAGCTTGCGTTCTGGAGGAGGAAAGATCTTGGGCAATGTGCCTCTTTTCAGAAGAGGGAAATTTCCGAAAAGGTCTGATGGCTGAGAGCTCAGCCCTCAATGCTCCCAGAAGTTGAGTAAATTTGTCCTTCCTTCCTGAAAGGGGAAACTGAGCAGGG